TGTGCTGTATTCTAATTAAGTTTTTGAAATATGTCTTCAACTGTATACACTCTAGTTCCCATAATGTGCTATTTAGCCCATGCACTAAATTTTTCATTAGAATTATACTTTTCATTTCTCAAATTTCTACTTGATACCTTGTCAGATTTGGGGGATCACTTTTCACAGTATCATGTTGCTTATTGTATTTGTTTTCTATTATTGTTGTAACAATTACTACAAATTTAGTTATTTAAAAGAATACTCCTTATTACCTCAAAATTATATTGAGTCAAAGCCCAGAGTGAGTCTTGCAGGACTAAAGCCATAGTGTCTGCAGCACTATAGGAACCTCTTAGGGACAATCTACTCCTAGGCTCATGCAGATTGCTGGCAGAATCCAGTTCCATACAGCTGCATGGTTGAGGTCCCTGTTTCCTTGCTGAGTTTCTCCTATGGGGAATTGTCAGCTTTTAGAGGAGGTCTGAATTCCCTGGCTTGTGACTTCTTTCCTCTTCAAAGCCAGTAAGGCTGAGATGAGTCTTTCTCATCCTTCAGATCTCTCTGGCTTTTCACTGTTTCATCTCATCCACCTGACTCTTCTGTCTTACTATTCTGCTTTTAAGAGCTCATATGATCTTTTAGGCATTTGTGAATACTCCAAGCTACTCTGCGTATTTTAAAGTCCACTGATGAGCAACCTTAATTACATCTGCAAAATCCCCTCATGACAATACCTACGTTAGTGTTTGCTTAAATAACCAGGAGACAAAAATCTTAGGGGAGCATTTTAGAATTGTGCTTACCATACTTATGTTTTCAACACCCTCTTTTATATTTGTAAACATTATACTTCCTCATTTTATATTCCGTATTTGATAATTGTAATATCTGTTGTTCTTGTACTTTGGATTCTGTGTCTTTTGTTTATGTGGCTCTTGCACATTATGCTTTATGTCTTGGTGGCATTTGTGAGTCTTGATTAAAATCCGACATAAAGTTTAGCTCTAGTAATTTTTTGAGCTTTAGGTGGAAGAAGGTGTTTCCTCCTTTTGCTAGATCCTTGAGAATACTATTAACTCAGGATTGTTTTAAAATGGAATTTCAGATTAGGTCCAGTCCCTTCCTCTGCCCCACCCAACACACACACACACACACACACACACACACACACACTGGTGTGGAGACTTTAGGTCCTTCACTTGTATGGTAGATTTTCACCCCTCCACCTCATGTATAGACCAAACGTGAAAATTCCCTTGCTGTTTCCCGTATGGGGTGATTTTTAAATGTGGCTTGCATTTCACTGAGGGTACAGTCTTTTGTGACCTTAACTCTATATTGGTTTCCATTTGCCTCTAACTTAAGTGGGTTTTAGCCTTGTCATCTCATTCTTGTCCCCTTTGTAGCTACTAAAAGGAACTTTCAAGAGCTCTAGGGATTAGAAGAATCTCTGGATTCTTGCTTTCTTTTTTGAAGACTTTTATTATTTTCTTGCTGACACAATAATGTATGCTATTCAATATTTTTTATTGTTTGTCTTCAAGAATATTTTTTTCCTCTGGTATCTATAGTATAAACAGTACTATCAGTGAGGGAAATTGTTTTTATTTCTTTTTTAAAAGTCCCTTGTTGTTTTCTTTCTAGACAAATGAAGATACCCATATTTTGAAAGCCTTATAATTTCTGGCTCAGTTATATGTTATTTTTACTGTTCACTCCTGGACTAGTCTGGTCTTGCCTCTACAATGGGGACCTGGGGTTTTGATATTTGCATTCCCAAAACTTATCTAGGAAATATTACTGAATCATTTTTTTCATTTGCAAATAACGTGGTTAATACTGCCCTGGAGAAACAATTTTAACTATCTCCCCTTCTAGATAATTTTAGAATAATAAAACTAACACAGTTTTACTTTGTGTTCTTAATACAATCCTTCCCCTACTAAAAAATAAAAAAAAAACAACATTTAATTAGATTGAAACCACATAATTAAGCAAAGATAAAATGTATTAATTAAACCAATAAAAAGAGACACCATGAAAATTTTATTAAAAATTTAGCCATGGTACAGATATAGTAATATGTCTAACAATATTCTTTTACAAATAATAATACATGGCACATATATCAAGATACCATCAATGTGCCATGATATTGTTCGATCACTTTTTGCTAATGTGCATTGGTAGCACTGGCTAAAAGTGTGTGCTTCCTGAACTCACAGGCTGAAATGGAGAGAACAGTGTCTTTGATACCAAAGTGAAAACACTGGGCACATTTGTGAGAAAGGAAGTCTGAATTCTAGAGATGCTCTAATATATACAGCAGCAGTAGGGGTGAATGAAAGACAGACATATGCCAGTGGGGCCTTTCAAGTACTTGCAAGAACAGACAGTAAATAGGCACTTAGTGAAATTGCTACTATTATCTAGACAAGATCCCATCCTCAGTGAAATGCTGAAATTTAAAGTGACAAAGATTTCTAGTTAACCTTTAAGTAATGATTGGGATAATAACAAAAACACTATCTACCATAGAGTGAAAGGACAAAGATTTGTTTGATCATCTATTTCAGGTTGGAAACGTTCAAAGACAATGTGCAACCCTCAAGCTAAAAGAACTTGAGGACTTTGTTGTAAATGTGACAAATGTGAAATGGATAAGTTGAATCATTCATATGTCAACTAGACATGAATACGTAGCAAGAGAACTATATGGCTTAATTACATACATTTCAACTGAATATTTTTTCTACATTCATCTGGTTGGAAGTAATGCTTTAAAATTATTCAAACAGAAATGTTTATATTATTTTCTTGATACCAAAACATACTCATTATAATTTGAAAAGTCACTTTATTCTTTTAAATAAAAATGTATCCATCATACAATATAATTCAGTAGTGACAAATTTAACAACTAGGAAAAAGGCGTAAATGTAATAAATACTATGGATCATAAATAAATGATAAAGGAGTAAGTGAATAGAATGAATATAGATGATTATACAAAGCAGCAATATTATATTTTAAGCTTTAACTAGACAAATTTTTCTTTGAAAAAATTATGAATTTTTCATTGACCAATTAATAAACCTAGACTAATAATGAACATGGGCAACTCATGTATATTTTAAAAAGAAATATATGTTATTTGTAAAAACCCTATTTACTATATTTAATTTCAAGAATGTTTTAATAAATATTATTATTTATATTATACAAAGTATACCAAATCTGTAACATCTAGAAAATGTGCCAATAAAGATTAAAAATAGCGAAGGTATTTTTTTTTTTTTTTTTGAGACAGAGTGTCACTATGTCACCCTCAGTAGAATGCTGTAGTGTCACAGCTCACAGCAACCTCCAACTCTTGGGCTTAAGAGATTCTCTTGCCTCAGCCTCCTGAGTGACTGGGACTATAGGTGCCCACCACAAGGCCTGGCTATTTTTCTGTTGCAGTTGTCATTGTTGCTTAGCTGGCTCAGACCAAGTTCAAACCCTCCAGCCTTGTAACCACTGTGCTGGCTCAGATCGAGTTCAAACCCACAAACCATTGTGCTTAGCTGGCTCAGACCGAGTTCAAACCCATCAGCTGTAACCACTGTGCTATGAGTGCTGAGCTGTTAAGGTACTTTTTTGACTCTATCTTCCATTTTTATTTTAGCATGAGATTTGCTATGCTCTAATATCTACACCTTTTTCTAACTGTGCACGTTATTTTGTTTTGGTTGTCATTTTTTCTTTAGTCTAATTTTCAAATGCTAAGAGACTTTGTTTTAAACTTTCATTTATTGATGTATAATAGGTGTGTATATTTTGAGGGGGGCATGATATGTTCATACCTGTATACACTGTGTTGTGATCACACCAGGGTGCTTGGGACCTTGCTCTTTTTCTCATCCTGACTACTATAAGGCCACTCTTATCCTACTTTTGTTTAAATATTCAGGTTGTTTCTTTTTTGGTTTGATAGTAAATGGCTTATTTTTGTCTTTCATAAGTTTGTCAACAGTTTCAATTTTTATTCTGTACTTTCCTTCTGATATTTTCCTTCAGTGTTAATGTAATGGAGCTATGTGACCTTTATATCTGTCTACACAGTGAAATTCATTAACCTTCTATGTCTTTTTTAAACACAAGAAATTATGTATTTTTGAAATAAGATAAATATAAGAAAATTATTATACATATACATAAATCTACAGTTAGATGATGTTTAGCTTTGTTTTTTTTTTCTATACTGTGCCAGTATTAAAAATCATAACAGGCCTTTTCCACAACTCTAAAAATGCATTTCTCAGTGCACTGAGATCATAAAAATATGAATAATATTAATGTAACTGTAGGGTCAAATAGAAACTAATCCTTATTTGTGAGTTTTTTTGTAATTTAGTAGATTCAGCTATAATTTTTGAAATTATTACTTCAATTTAAATTGTTATACTATATGTATATATTAAGAATAATCCAGTTGGATTTTTTTAATGAGGAAATGAACATTTCATTTAGATTAAACTTTTCTCTGTGTCACCAGATGACCATGATTTTAGTTTCTCTGCAAATTCTCTCGAGCAACACTGTAGAAATGATAATACAAGTACCTAATTAACTTGTATATTTTATTTTCTATTTTTAGTTTCATGGGAAGTTTTTGAAATAATACATTGATGTTTGAAATGTTATGCTGAATTCTAATGGTGGGTGAACCAAACAGGCTAATCTGTTTGAAGGTCAACTTATAAATTATTCTTATGATGAAACAAGATACAGATGGTCCATGAGAAAAGTCTGAACCGTTAGCTTCCTGATGAAGGTGTTTAGATGTTCTTTGGTTGCATCTCAAAGAAAATGTGGACTCTGAGTTATGCCAGCAGGTTGTGGATGTTCACTGGGATTGTAGCAGCTATACCATAAACTGATTTAAATGTGTCATCGGTTACCCAGAGCCACATTTCACAGTGAATTATTAATGGTTCCCAGAAGTCACCACAAAATAGTCAGAACTTCTGTGCTTATCATGGCATGGTCTCATTTCTAATTGCAGGAGCCCAAGAAGGATAAGTGTTGAGGTCAAATATGGGTGTGATCCAGGTAGCCATGCCAAGCATCACCACAGCAACACCAATAATATTAACACCAAGTCCAGCTTTAACCTTGAATAGGAAAGAGCATAAATGGGCATTATTTCAAAAAGAGATTTAGAATACTATTGTAGAAAGTACATGCCAGAATTACATGTATCCTAAATGATTAGTATAAACTGTTGTCATTTCTTAAAACCAGGGGTTATTCTCCGCTCATGTCAAAATAAAATCTTTTAGTTGGAGAGTCTCAGAGAGGTTCCAGGAAAATACCTAAGACATTCTCATTAGAAAAAAATCCCCTTCCAAACCTGCCATTTCATGTTAAGTCAGAATTTGAGTTTTATAGACTTGTATTTCAGTGGATTAGGTTTAGTGCAAGCAGAATGGAGACTGAAGGCTATCATGTCATTTAGCCCAAAGGGTAAACTGAGCAAGGGAACTTTAAGGATCTGAGTGGCCTTGAGCCTGAGCAGCATTCTTGGCAAGGGAAAACACCCCCAGAAAAGGGAAAAACAGAGAAATAAGCTGAATAAGGTGGGATAAAAACAGTTTAGTTATCTAACTTTTAAACCAGCAGCTGAATTACTTATCTGAGCAGTTCCTGCTTGTACTAGAAGGCTGGTGGGTAAGGGATACAGCTTGCCAATACCCCTGCTGGGTCTGTAAACACTCTGAAGAAGTAATGGCCTTAGAAGGAAACTGCATTCAAGGCCTGGGGGGAAAACCAACTGAGTAGTCCCCTGCTCAGTCAACAATCAAAGCAAATAATCATTGTGGGGATTTGTATTATGGCCAGGGCAGAGATCAAGGGAACAGCCCAAGCCCTGACATATGGGCAGGACGGGCTTGTACCCACTTATCATAGAGGAAGACCCCTCTGGGTGGAGATCAGAGGAAAATTCTTCTGTTTCACTGATTCTTCAGAGGAGGCTGACTCCATCATGTCTGCTCCACACTGAGCTAGTGGGGGTTAATCTCCTCCAAGGAATTTGTGTGTGTAACCACAGACAGGAGGCTGCCCCACACAAGGCTCAGGTTTTAGACTTCCCAAGACCGCTCAGACCCTTAAAATTAATGATTATAGTTGATTATAGATAGAATAAGAACTAACATGCGTACTCAGAGAAACTGCTGACATTTTTGTTCCTTTCCTCAGCTTACCCTCTGGGTCAAGTGAGATAATAGCCTTCAATAAAAGCTATTGATAGAACAAACACTCAGGGCCATTTACTGGAACCCCACAAGCTAGTGGTGGTCCCCTGTGTCCCCACCTTTGAAAGTTCTATTTTTTCTGTCCTGTCTTTTTATCTCTCACTGCTTTTAACTTTACTTTTCTTTAATTGATCTCTGCCGGATCCACAGGTCTTAATGGCCCCTGCATCTGGGATGGGACTCTGGCACCATATAACTGTATCCTTCATAGTCTCTCAATTTATTATTAATTTTCCCTTTCATATTATCTTATTGAGATTTTATAATGTGACATCTACTCCTCTTTCTTAGAGTCCACATCTTTTTAGCTTTTATATTGTTTTTCTAACATCCATTAAACAATCTCAAAATTGCCTTCTATTAAAATAGAGATTATAAAACTGCCCTTGACCTGTTTTTGTAAGTAACGCTTTATTAGACATTGCAACTATGCCTGTTTGTTTATATGAATATATTGCTTTTGATTGCTTTCATGATACAAGGCTGAGTTGAGTAGTTGTATTAACAACTACAAATATTAACTGTATGTCCCTTTACAAAGAAAATTAGATTATCTCTGCATTCTCTGTGATAAAACACGCAGTCCAAAAGTAAAAGGGGGATACCTAGTGGTAATTATTATAGAGACTTTCTTCTGTATCCATGCAAGCCACTCATTAATTCCAGAGTGGTTATTCTTTTAATACATGTACATTGGGAATTACTTATACTGTATTATGCATGTTTTTATTAGCAAATGAATATTATGAAATTACTGTATAGAGGAAGCTCCAGAATTTTTCTGTTGTAAGATTTAGGGACACCAATCTGTGTAGGAGAATGGGAACTGGGATTTACCCTGGAACTGCATTTGCATAGGAAACTCCCTGAATTTGGTTATATTCTTATTTGGCTTGGTTTGGAATTTTGTGATGAAGATTTGTGGATTGACTAGAATATTCTTGAGCCAGTTCTTACCTATGATCACTTTTGTAATTTGATAAAAATACCCATGTTTTATCACTTACATTCTCCATTATCACTTCCTTGGGTTTTCATTTCAGGTTCTATTCTTAGAGTTACAACAATAAAGATGCCTTTTTATTAGTCAGGCACTGACCCAGCGTCTCATTCAGAGCCAATATTGACTGCATAAATATTTGTAATAGCAAAGCAGAGTTTTATTTTAACTGCTGGATTTCATCCACCCAATTCTTTTCTTTGGCCTGTGTCAGGATAGATCCTGACCTTGACAGGTTACGTTTAAGCTGATGTGTCGAGCATGTTCACTGCTCTTTTCCTTCTTCCAGGGCATTACTGATGCATTGAAGTGTCTCTGCATTTGTGATCATAAATTCTAATGGCATATTCACTTTTGGTTATTCCTCTTAAAGACAATTATATGACCAGTCACACACACACCTTTATAAACAGATCTCAGGCCATGCTTTTCCTGGTGGTTGAATGGTGTGTAAAAAAGAAGATAATTTGAGACATCACCCCCCCCACACACACACTCACACACAAACTGTGCATTGGATTTGATAGTACTCTTTCAGGTAACTCACCATGTCAATGACTTTCAGGTGACCATATGAAAAGACAATAGCGTTGGGTGGATTTGCTACTGGTAGGAGGAATGCAAATGAGGTACAGAGAGTAGAAGGTATCAAGATTAACAGAGGGTTCACTTCAATGGCCTCAGCCTGTTGTAAATGACAAAAGGAATCTAAGTCAAATATTAAGTGTAGGCACCAAACATCAAAATTAACAAACATAATAGGCTTTCCAAATAGCACGTTGAAATCTCATGTAGAGGATGCCAAGACCCAGATGACCTCTGAGAAAGATGATTTGCAGCTGGTGGGGTGGACTCTTGGGCAATTCGTCCGCAGGAGCTCCTTGTGGAGAAAGAGCCTGAGCCCATGGCAATCCTTAGGCCACATAGTTATTGTCTAATACTCCCCTCACCTGTCTTGTACTGTCCCAATAAAAGGCTACTGTGAAGGTTGCTCGGGGCTACCCTGCAATCAAGGTTAGCCAGCCCTCCTGCAAGCCTGTGCTTCTAATCCGCAACACGCCTGGTTCCTTCCTGCAGCGATCGAGACCAGGGCCATAGGGGCCCTAGGGGCTGCGACAATCTCATGTCATAAAATTATACACATAATTACAGTTATAACTTGAACAATATTTTTTAGAAAATATCTGTTCCTCTTGTTGTTTATATAGTTATTGATGCCTATTTCAACATTATAGTCCAGTTCATTTAAAAAATAAACTATCACTTATTCCAAAAACTAAATAAAAATAGCAACCATATATTATTTATATAGTGCTAGGTGCTATGGTAAATGTTTACATATACATATATATTCATATGTTTATATAATTATATGTAACAGATAACATAATTGACACATACGTATTTATATATACATACTAATTTTCACAATGATCTGCTGCGGTGACTACTATAGCCTTAAGTCACAGATGAAGAAACGGAGGCCCAGACAGGGTAACAGAACCAGCCCAAGCACGTAGCTGGTGAGTGAAGAACTTAGGTAGTCTCTGGTCCCTCTGGCTTTTGAGCATTCCCTTATACTACTAACTTTACTGCCTCTGTGACATACATAATTTACAATTTTCTTAAGGGTCATTACAGAAGAGTTACTACTATTCTTAATTCAACACATAATTTTTTAACTGTTCCATGTTGAGAAATAAAATAAGGAAAAAGAGAAAAACCCCAAATGATATTTTATCAATATATTTTTTTCCTAATCTGAAGCAGCAGGTGAAGAACACTGGCATAAGCCCTTTGAGTTTGTGGCAGAAGAGTTCCAGAAAGACAATCCTTAATTTAAAGAGCTTTCTTTCTTTCCACCAGACTTGTCTGAGAGAAGCATTTTACTTAAAGGTAACTCTTTCTTGTAATTACTTCCTAGGTGGGGAGAAGAAAAAATTACAATCTCTCTTAGCAAACCTATTTCTTATTTTCCTTTTCCGTCATTCTTCCTTTGGCAGTAGATAATCACGTAGAAGGTATTTAAGCCTGAAGCCTGAAAGTATAAGCCTAGTTTTTCACTCATTTGCAAATCACTTACATGAAGCACTTTTCAGAAATTTAGGAGCAATGTTCTGGAGGGAGAAATGTCTGTGCTAGAGATTTAACTACTAACATTGCCGGGAAACACTGAATTCCAAGTCTTATGACTGGAATGGATCTAGTCTGCCCCTCTTATTTATTTGCAAATGGAAAAACTGGGTTGAGAATGTATGTGGGTCACTTAAGATCATGCTGCTCTAACATGAAAACTTGAAAATCGTTCTCTTGAGTCAAGGTCCCAGAACAGCATCAATGCAAATAAAGACCACGGTAGAAGTTGCTTTAAAGGAGGCACAGGTAGGCCAAAAAGGATTTCATACCACAACATGAAAACCTGCATTCCAGAGTAGAACACTGCCGTGACGAATGAGATACTCACCAAAGGAGATAATATCGGGAGAAGGAGGGTGATGGTGGCTGGATTGCTGGCTACCTCTGTTAAAGTTGTGACCATCAAAGAAGTTATTAGAATTATTAGCCATACTGGTAATGAACCCAAAGGAGATAATTTATTTCCTATCCACTGAGATAGTCCTGACACCTAAAAAACAAATTCATAATATTTGTGATTCACTAATAGTTCATTATAATCAGACATAATTTAAATACATAAAGGCATGATTTGCTCTGAAAACTAGTTTCTAAAATAGCATTTTAATCTCTCATTTTTCTGTGGTTTGGCAGATCTGGGTGGCTTTGAAAGCATTGTCAGTATATTCCAGGAAGTTTGAAATGTCCTCCCACGTTTTTCAATTGTACTTCAATTTTCTCTGGTCCATATATGTGGGTATTTTAACAAGGCAGACAGTACTGTGGGACTTTAAGGAAAGAGCAGTGCTTCTGTCTCACCTCTCCTTACTCCTGAGCGGTGCTCCCCCAAAACAATAACTTCCAGCCCTTCTCCTGATCGTATGCTTAGGTATTTGTAGTTATCTTTCAAGATAATATTCTAATTATACTTTTTCCTTGATTTTCAAGTTCAGATATTGTTTACTGACTTTCTAGTGTTACATGAGGATTTATTTTTCTTACATCATGTACCATACATATGTTTTTTTACTCTTCATTCCTCCACACTCATCTATCAACATTTTTGGTTAAATAATATTTCATATTTGCCACTCTGATTATATAAATGTTGCCCGTAGTTGAGCTGCTTAGCGTACTATGATCACATTCACTTTCTTTGTTTTACTCTCTCCCCAAACAGTGCCCCCATTCTTCTGTTTGCTGAATTTTCTAAGTAGCTATCAATGATTCATCATATGCTCTAGTAAAACTGGAAAACTCTCCCACAGATAGACAAACATATCAGGTGATTGTTTCGTTTTTTCATGTTTCTGCATGAAGATGCGTGGTCTGCCATATTCCTGGGCCCTGCACCACCTGAATCATTTGCTCTTTATGTACTTAACTGTTGTGGTTCTGGGACATTTCTTTATTATCATACTATAAATTTCCTTCTCCTTCCCCATTTCCTGGAATCTTTCCTTTTTTACTTATTTGTTTTGTGGGAACATATCCTTCTATAATTTTCTAAGAATTAGTGCAGGGAGGTAAAGTTTTTGCATCTCTGCATGTTTTTTCTTTTCTTGTCTTTCTTTCTTTTTTTTGACAGAGTCTTCACTTTGTTGCCCTCGATAGACTGCAGTGGCGTCACAGCTCATAGCAACCTAAAACTCTTGGGCTTAAGTGATTCTCTGGGACTATAGGTGCCCACCACAATGCCCAGCTATTTTTAGAGACAGGGTCTAGCTCTTGCTCAGGCCGGTCTCAAACCTGTGAGCTCAGGCAGTCCACCTACTTCAGCCTCCCAGAAGGAGGGATGGGCCCCTAAGCCACTGTGCCTGGCCCCTGCATCTCTGCATGTTTGAAAACATTTTTTTAAATTTTCTTTTCACACTGTTTTGATAGTTTAGTCTTTGTGAAATTCAGGATTTCAAATAATTGCTTCTCAACAGTTTTACAGTATCACTCAATTTCCTGGCTACTAGTCAGATTCTTCAGAAGCCTGGTCACTTTCTGGTCTTTGGTTCATTGTATATCATGAAGAAGAATTGGCTGCACTCAGATTAGCAAGTTATGCTGTTCTGTTTTTCTCCCCCAAAATGAAAGGGAAAATCCTCTTTTGGTTAGAAGATTTAAATGTTCTGCTTATTGCATGTATGAATCTTTATGCTCACAACAGTCAGACTTGGCATCAGAATGCTCTAATTATAAGCAATAAACCTGCAGATCAAATTGTCACAAAAAACCTCAGATGTGGATACCAGATACCATATATGTTATTTTTGTTTTTGGTTTATATTTTTTATTGTTTTTTTTCTTTTCTTTCTTTCTTTTTTAATCTTTTCTTGGTGATGACTTTTAGATGAGAAAATGCTGTCTGCTACTTAAGTCACATTGTACACAAGTTCATCCTAGAATATGGACACTTTAAGAATGTTTAGTTAAATGTGGAAAAGACTGAACTATGTAATGTTCCCCCTCTCAGGAGGTCACTGGGATCACATCTTCATCTTCTATTTCAAAAATTAACAAATTTATTATATTATTAAAAAATTCTATATCTGAAGGGCTTTGGAATTGGGGACTCAGTAGCTTTCTCAGTCTTCAGTTCTGGGAAATTTCTTGTGCATTATTTTTTTGGGAATGTCCTTCTTTTTAATTTTTTTCCTCTTTCTGAAATTCCTGCTAGTTGACTATTGGCCATAAAGGATTGTTGATTTAATTTTCTTATCTTTTAAAAAATATTTACTTCTTCTAAATATTAACTGAATAATACCAATTGCTATTAAGTATTTTTATACTTGTTATCATATGCATTTCTCATCTTGGGGGCTCTTTCTTGTATTCTGCCTATTTCTTTTTTAAAAAGCAACTCTATTATAATCTCTGATTACTAACATTTCTGAGATCTCTTTGTATCAGTGACAAATATGCAAAATTTTCTTTTGCTTCACACATTTTCTTTGTTTTTCATGTGCTTTTTTTTTTTTTTTTAATTTTGTGATTACTTTTTGTTACTGGATATTGTATCAGAGGCTTCCCTATCAGGGGATCCTAGACTACCTATTTATGTTAAGAAGGAAACAATTAAATGATGATTGGAAGCTCCTTGTGTCTGGGCAATGATTGTCAAAGGAAGACATTATTGTAAGTGACTGAGCCATGAGTCAGTTTTGCTACAGAGAAAATATCAATCTTCTGTCAGGGAAAAGCAAGAACACCTTCTTGGCTATTCAGGACTGGGGAAAGTATCTTGGCAGTCCACAGCTCCTTGCACACTTTATACCATTCTTAATATTCAGTTCTGATATCTATCCCAGTTTCAGACTTATCTGCTGCCTCCAGTTCCTAGCTCTTCCAGGAGCTCATGGATAAAGCTGTTGGTTTTTTACGGGCTGTTCCTTTTGACAGCCTATAGATTTCATTTTTCACTACCTTTCTACTTGCACAAAATCAAGTCTTTCCATCGTATCCATTTTGTCAGCCTCTCTTGTTTGTTACTATAACTGTCATATAATCTCTATCTTTGTGGACCGATACTTTTTTGTTCTGTTATTTCCACGTTAGTGGAGATATGAAAAATTATTATTAAATCCTATATGTTGAACCTAGGAGAAAAATTTTGAGGTATGGGTGAAAGGAAAAGAGTAGGAGTTAGTCACTGATAAGAATTAGAAGGTGACTACCAGCTCATGAGAAATCAATCACGTTAAAACAAAATCAGGGAGCATTTAGGGGAGATTTCACAGCAGGGAGATGAATGTGCTCAGTCTCACTGTCTCCAGTTGGATGGGTTATCTGGATTTGAACATTTGCCAGACTAATTATAATTTGGAACAACGTTTTAAAAAATTAACTGTCTCCAAATATTTATAAAACCAATTTCTAGAGGAATATTTGTCCACAGCCATGGTTTTGAAGCTCATGGCTTTAATCAGGCCACCTAGGGGGTAGAGTTATACTAAATATCCTGTAGAAGCCTGATTCTCTATACTAAGACTTTTATTTTTATAGTAAGCTAGACCTTTCTTGCTTAATTCCCCCACTGAGAGAACTAATGTATCAGACTAAGTCTGTGCATTTTCATTTCCTCAGATTTTGCTATTCTGTGGTCTAGCCATTGCTTTTAGAACCATTTTCAGTGTCTAAAGTCCAATCTGGATGATATTCTGAGAAGGAGGAGCAAAGTTCATCTCCACTACACATTTGATGATTCCAATTTCCTCACAATTATATGAGCAGAATAGGAATTGAAGTTACTTATTCTGAGAATTTAGAGTTTATAAATAGTAGAGGAGAAAGTGTATTTATCTTAAATCTCTACCATTTCTATTCAGATAGTCTATGAAGCAAGGCAAAGCTACACATGACAGTAACATCAGAAATGCACTCAGGATTCAGCCAATTTTCAAAACTTTCAGCCATTACTACGTCTTCCAGCTAAACGCTCAGTATCTAAACACTGAGCAGAGGGTCCTGCACCCAAGAGTTGCCATACCCCCTTCTACAGTGTCTATTGAGACACAACTAAGAAATGCCAACATGGTAACCTAATATTATCCTCACATTATTCTGAAATAATAAGTAAATAAATACTATGCAGAAAAATTGCCAATAAGGGCTTGGTGCCCGTAGCTCAATGAGTAGTATGCCAGCCACATACACCAAAGCTGGTGGGTTCAAGCCCAGCCCGAGCCTGTTAAACAACAATGACAACTGCAATCAAAAAATAGCCAGGCGTTGTGGCAGGTGCCTCTAATTCCAGCTACTCAGGAGGCTGAGGCAAGAGAATCACCTGAGCCTAAAAGTTTAAGATTGCTTGGAGCTGTGATGCCACAGCACTCTACCCAGAGTGGCATAGTGAGACTCTGTCTAAAAAAAAAAAAAAATTGCCAATAAAGTTACAAGCAAATAACTATCTTCCTGTTGGTTATCAAAGGACAAGAGACAGGTATTTGTCTTGAGAAGTATAAAAATGTAGCTTCCTGAAAGCTGGATACAATCTCTCTCTTACAACACCCTTTTTATAAATTTGATGAATGAGTAAGGAAATGGAACAGCCATAAGCTTTGAGTATTTCATGAAATGTTATGAAATCCAGACATGAGTGGTTTTTAATTAGTCAAAGACATAAGGATTTTTTTTTTTTTTTTTTTTTTTAGACGGAGCCTCAAGCTGTCCTCCTGGGTAGAGTGCCATGGCATCACGCTCACAGCAACCTCCAACTCCTGGGCTCAAGTGAGTCTCCTGCCTCCGCCTCCCAAGTAGCTAGGACTACAGGCGCCCTCCACAACGCCTGGCCATTTTTTGGTTGCAGCCATCATTGTTGTTTGGCGGGCCCGGGCTGGGGATTCGAACCCGCCACCTTAGGTGTATGTGGCTGGCGCCTTAGCCGCTTGAGCCACAGGCGCCTAGCCAGACATAAGGATTTTCATGAAACTTTCAGAGACATTAACTTCTCTTCCAGTAACCCTACAATGACCGGGATAATTACAAGACACAGGGGCCTCCCCGAAACTGAGGCTGGATATCAGCTAGATAGGTAGGCCAAGAAACAGCCACCTGTATTTCTCATGCTGTTTTTATTTCTTTCTAGGATTAGATATAATGTTAAGCAGGGTCATGTGAAATTTCCCCTGAACATCATTCAATAAACATTTTTTAAGTATCCTTAATGCTAATATTATTTCTCATTCTCCTTCAGTAACAATATGGCCATGACGTATCAAAGTCTGAGGGCCGTTCCAATTCATCATGCACTAAGTTAAAGGCATAAACAGAAAATGTGCTCCACGGGCAGTCACTTTACTAAACTTGCCGTCTACTACTATTAAATGGATTAAGAATTTTAATTGTTTTTGCATTATTTCTTTTGACATGCTGGAGAACCATAAGAAATAATGTTTTCTGTTGGCAGCCTATAAAAATTCTTGGACTCTGCTCTTAGCTCATATATATGGTATACTCACTGCATAGCTATTAAGATTTATATCATTAAAATGATAAAATAATATTGAACATGGCAAAAGCTTGACGATCTCTGCGTTCCTTGAACTGTCTAGTTGATTGGCAAATAGCTTATACTCAGAGCATTACCTCACAGCCATCTGCCAGGGCAAACCCTCCACCAACGAGAATGGCTATATCCCAGGGCATGAATGACTGAAATTCTTTCCAAGTAATCAGTGGAGAGTAATCAACAGCAACTGAAAAACAAAAGTCACACATTGTTTAGCATATGACAACATGACACTTTCTTTTATCACCTTAAATAACCATCTTGTGGGAAGTTTGTAATATTCCTGTATTATTTTTAAAGAGAGGATTTGATCTAAATTTTGAGTGATATCCACCTGGCCTAGGAAGGACATTATAGTATAAAATATGCTATAACTTAGAAAAATTCTTTGGATAATATTGCAGAATAAGTTTGATAAATGATAACATCGTCATGTACAATGCCATTCACTCATGCATTCATCCCACTAACATCTTAATCTACTGTGAATAACGCAGTGCATTAGACTATACTGTTCTCTGCTATGTAAAGTATCTGTAATATTCCATTGGTTCCAAAAGCATCAGTGTAGCTTTTTAACTATTATTCACTAATATTTATTTATTTTATTTTTTAAGTCATAAGAAGAGTCATGATAGGTTCATCAGGATTTCAGTTTAAAGACAAATTAAGGTTAACTTTAAATAATTTAAGTTTTATTCATGAGACCCTTACAATGCTCATAAAGTCATCATAATGATTCATCTTTGATATTTGCATTCTGATCTGTCCATTATTTTACTGATAAGTAAGTTTTTTATGGACACAGCATATCCATGTAACATTTGTGCATCACAGGAAGCCCTCTGCATGTGAGATTTTAAGGTCACTTACGAGCCTTCTTCCTATCACCTTTCCCCAAACCCAAACCAAACCAACCCTCACTGGTGACTGAAATGTTGCTATTGGGTTTCTTACTTGGATTAAGACCATATATCCTGTTAAAACACAAACTTCTCTGGTAAATACTTCTTATTTAAAATTTAATATGTCTCATCTGTCATTTTAAAACCTAGTAAGAATATGTTTATCAGGGACAGGTGGTGAAGAATGAGGGGAGAGGGAACGGTGGGCAGAAGCAAGGCTCTTTCTAAGGGAGGGAATCCAGATGTGGGATCCAGGGAACCTAAGACTAACCACTGGTTCTTCCGTTTTTGCCAATGCAACGGTCCGCAGGGTCTCATGGATAACAATGCTCAATATTGCAACATCTCCTTAACACGCAGTGAGATTTTCTAATCTCAAGTAAAAACAAAAGGCATCATTTCTGTGCTGTTCACAAATATCAGTGCTTATTTGGAAATCTGACACATTTGTCATTCATGGATTCTGACTCAAGGAGTCAGGTGGGCCAACTCAACCACATGAATCCTAGTTTCATCCTACTTTGTAAGAACAAAAAGCAAAAGCACAACTCTACTAGCTTATTTTCAAACAATGGCAAATTATTTTTCCCACATCAATAATACAGGAATCTGACAACTCAAAACGTGGTATAGTTATGAAGCACAGCCAGGGATGAGCCCTATGCTTAAGAAGTGCATATGTGTGTATGTCGGGGGGGGGAAGTATGCACATACACATATGCGTGCTTTTTTGTGTCCATGTGTCTAAACACAATGAGTGTTCCCACTGAATACCTTTCTGCCCATTATAACCTTAGGTTATGGCTATGTGAGTTGGTTTGCTTTTTCTCCAGGACTACTTCGAAGCTGTAAATGTTCTTGCTCTTGAAATTCCTCTCCTTTTAGATCCTCAGCATTTATTACCAAGGGCTTATCATGAAGCAATGATTTCCAAATTCTTGTCCTTATGTTTACAATAGTATGATTAATTCTGATCATGGCAGCAGGCTTATCATGGCTCAAATAGTAGGTGGAAGCAGCTTTATCCTGACTCAAATAGTTTCACTCATAGCAGAGCCCCAACCATGGTGCAAAAGGAAATCTACTTCTCACTTGAGCAAAGCCAGCTGATCCTGCTTGTGGATGGAGTTGTGTGCTGGCTAATTATGAGCTTGTAGTATGCCAAGAGTGTATGGGAAGCCAGGGGTTGTGCTGGCATGGCCATTCTTTGTGTTCTAAGTGATAACTAAAACTGATGGGATTTTATATGTTTTGCTCTTCTGTCACATTCATTCAGAATGATTAATGATACTCCACCAATTTCTCCTGTAGGTTTAGTTTTGGTCAATCTCTTGGCCGGGATAAGAAAAAATAGGAGTCCTACAAGCAAGGCAACAGTTGAGTCCGTGATAAAGCCAGGGGTCCTGAAAAAGGACAAATATGTGTATTAGAAAATAAGCATCAATAGATTATGATAATAGCATGTAAGCAGTAATGATGGGATCACGTATTTATTCTGGATAATCTGTTCTAAAATCTATGGATTTCCAACTAAATGGTGTAATTTACTGAGCCAATAATTTCAGATTACATTTCTGTTATTCCCGTATTTCTCCTTATTTTTAATACCACATACACACATGCTGACCAATTAGGCCAATGTGGCAGACTTTCCTTTTTGGGTAAGCTTACAGATTTGTTAAATGATTTCTCCTTTGAATTATTTCTTTTAATCATGTTGGCAGAGAATAGAAGTGGAAACAGTTGCCAGGGTAGGCAAAGCCTCATATAATTGATATATAACATTCATTATCAAATTGTAGCAAAGCATGATGTTTCTGGAGTCCCCCAAACTTCTTCTATAATTGTGAAAAGAAATTGATCTTTTTTCCAACGTATAACACCTGCTTCTGGGGTTATAGGCCTTAGCCATATAAAACAAATGAAATCAACCCATTTTATGCTTTGTACCTTATGAAATTCAATCAAGAATATAAATTATTGAAGTGGTTTATGCAATGCTCATAAATGATTGTTGTACAAATTAAATGTGATTTGGGAGCAGATGGGTCTTAGAATCACTAAGTCATTCCAACAGATAAGACAGGTTCCCAGAAGCCTCAATAGTTTGGAGACCAGATATAAATGAAATAGGCATAAATAATTAGAATTCAATTTTAAAAGTTAGCAACATTGCCTAGTACATTTTTACAACCTGAGAAGAAATGTGTACATTCTAAAGATTATTTTGCTACCTTGTAACTCAGTAATGTGTACCGTCTTAGAGAAGCATTTCTACAACTACAATTTACTTGAAAAATCTAAATAACCAGGGAAATTAATTCCCTTTCTCAACCTAATTTGTAAAGAAGTCTGCTTTTTAAAAAGATATACTTATTTTCTTTAGTGATTAACTATCTACCTTAACATAATTTATTATGCAAGCTTGACCAATATTTATAATTTTATTGTTTATTATTTATTTTCTTGCAGTTATAGTTTTTGGCTGAATTTTCAGAAAATTGGGCCAGGCATCATGTAAACGGGTTTTGTTTTATGTGAAAAGACACATTGAAATCAGTCCAAGTTCAAATAGAAGAAATGAAAACATTAGGTAGTAGCTATAAATTTGATATATAATTCTAGCTTTAGAAATTCAAAATACCTAGAACCTCTACATAATAAGTTATTGTACAGAATATATATGCCTTAAATAAATAAAATCAAGGCATAAACACTGAAATAATTTATTTTCAAAAAATATCTTAAATGATGATTATTTCATTATAACTTATTTTTAGTTTATTACAGATTAAGTTTTCTTGGTATTACAAATACTAAGCTTATGCAAATGATATTTGCTTTGGGTTTTCCAATTAGATTAGTATTTTCAGCTCTCATCTACCCTCAAACATTTGCTTCTTTCCTATCGTTTTCTCTTGGAATTTTAGGTGACACGAGCACCTTCCCAAGGCCAATACACTATTTTCCTACTGCAAACAAAATATGTCCTATATTACAATTTTCTTCCATAATGAATAGTAAGTAGAAGTTGATTATATTGAGTTTCCTGTTGGAATTTCTGCCAGGTTTTTTATCAGCTATTGTCTTATTTCATTTAGTTCTTATATACTGGTGTTTACAGAAAAAAATCTTTCTTATCTAGGGGGGGGAAGTTAGATTTTAAAAAGGGGAATAATGATTTTTTATGTCTGTCCCCAGATCCTACCACAAAGCCACAAAGTACTAGACCATTATTAAATAATAACTTGCTTTAAATACTTCCTTGATACCCTCTTTTAATACTTCTTAAAATAAAATTTTACTCCTAAAGGAAATTAAATGTTTGTATAGCTGAAACTGACCTTTCCAAACTTGCTGCCACCCTGCATTGCTTGACTTGTGTAGTTGTTAGGAATTTGGATTCAGACTTTGCACTCTAAAAAATATTGGCAGTGCCTATACATTCAGAAGGTTCTAATTGAGGGAAGGAGGAATTTCTTTATTCCACGTGGGCAGAATATACTTGACACAAACAATTCTGGTTTCTGCTCCACAAGGCTTGGGTTTTTGCTGGGGGATGTGAGACAGGAAGTCCAAGAAAGAAATCTGTTGAATTTAGAAATTGGAGTACTTTCGAAAAAGATAGATTGGGAACAAAAATCTCACAACCGAGTTATTTATATTACATGTGGGATGGTCCTTAACTTAGAAAATTATGCTATTCTCTTCCTCCTTACCGCCCATGACTCAGCGAAGACTGCTTGTATATAAGACACTGTGAGATAAAATTAACTCTGACCTCGCTCCTACCATCACCTTCAAAAATCAGTCTTATTACTGATTCAGGAATTCCTTATCTATGAAATGGGGGCTGGGCCAAATTTGTCGTGAGCTGGTGCAAAAACGTTCATAAAAAGAGAAAAAGGCCAGATACTGAATCAAATAAGCTGTCCTTTATAGATGTAAACAAAAAATTAAGATGACAAAAATCACAGAATATGAATTTATATCAGATTATTAAGGGACATCGAGTGGCATTTACTTTACAGAATAAATATTGATGTGGTTCTGTACCAGGTTGAAAGGCAACACTACCCTGAGTCCTATGACCACCTTTATTTTCCAGATGAAGAAACTGAAAGTTAAGTGACTTGCCCAAAGTAAGTGGAAGAGTCAGGAATGAAGAATGGCTCCAAAATCTATCCTCCTAACCGCCGTAGAACATAGACTTTCTGTGGATCACATTTCTAGTTTTATAAGGACGGGAAGAGCCTTGTCTAATGGACCTTGGGTTTTAGTTGCAGGATATCACGGTTATCCTTTGGATGGTGTTCCCTTAGATCTCCTTCCTTATACTTTGTGGGGGGTTTTTCCATAAGGATTCCAAGGAAAAATATCTTTTCAAGAGAAAGGTAGAAAAAAAAAAATCTCACACACTCTTCTGAGAATCACACAGGCAGGAAGCAGAGTATGAACTGGGAAAGGCTGACACATGAAACACCAACACTTACTCTGAAAAAAGCACGGCCCAACCAGGAGCAAACCCAGGGTCTCGGCCAAACCACAGCAGGGCCATGATGATGAAGAGGACTAAGGTCACAATTTCTTGATACCTGTGGAAAAATATCAGTACATCATTTCCTATTTTCTTCGTCAGGACATTTGTAGAAAATCCCTGAGCTACTGTCGGGAGTAATCTCAGCAGAACTCTAAGCACTGGAGCAACTGGGTGTGTTGATAAATGTGAGAGCATCAGCACAGGTGGGAAAAGCCTCAGTCCCCGGGGGGGGGGGGGGGGTGTCTCTCGGTTTCTTTTCATTCTACCTGGAAAATTTTATTTAGACAACAATATATATTTTGTCATGTTGAGTTATAGTCACAACGCTTAGCAATCTGGGGTGGGGGGTGGCAAATCAAGTTTTATAAAGACTAAAGGTAATAACTATACTGTCTTTGGGATTCATGCTAAATGAGTAGATTTTAGCTGCTCATGCCTCACATTTAAAAACTGGGAACTATGTAAGGTGATGGATATGTTAATTTGCCTCAGTATTATAACCTTTTCATTATCTATATGCACCTTACAGCATGTTATATACTTAAAACATACAAAATAAAATTTATTTAAAAATTCAAAAACAAAACAAAATAGAAACACCTTGCAGGTACTTTAGTGCTTATTTTCTTATTAAACAGCTACTTGCAATATAAGCAGCACAGATCTCTGTATGGATGCGTGTGCGTGCACACGTGTGTGTGTGTGTGCGCATGTGTGCGTGTCTGTTTATCTTACCTCATTGGCCCGAGTTTTAGGTATTCTTTCTTAATCACCTCGGCACAAGCCTTTTGTTGCAATGTTTTGGTTTTGCCACATTTGAACATCTCCTTGAAACTAAAAAAAAAAAAAGAAAAAAGGCAAAGAATTCTTTCCCTGTCACCTTCCTTTAATAGAAAATATTTTTTGGTGAAATCATCATAAAATATGACTCTCCCTGCTAATAAGAGAAATCTGTGCTCTCCTTCATATTTCTATCCTCTTTTCTGAATATCCCCACTTTTCCATTTTTTCCTGGTTTGCTCACTTTCCGATGTTTGATTTTTGTTGTATATTTTCCACATCTTCCGATCTCTTCTTTTGTCAAATCCATTTGCACTACCACTTAATAGTGTTATAATGGTGATAATCTATTATCTCCTACACTTTATTATATACTTGACCATTAAGTTATATTTTCAAATGTGTTTATTTTATATCTTGGTGGTTAATTGCTGCACACAGCTAAGCGTTATCCCAGCAGTCGTAATAGATACGTTATCCTGAGAGCAGGATAGTGACGATGCTTTAGATGTTTTCTTTGGCCCGGTATCGCTAAGCGCTGGCATACACAGTAAGTACCTAGCTCCAAACTCAATAGTACTTCTGGCACATTTATAAAACAGTTGATGTCAGATTCATCAATGTTCACAGGTATGCTGAACTTCAGTTAGACACTAGGGCAGGAAAGTCCCACATATTGATCATAGTCCGAGTCTGAACTATGTCATTCTCAGAAGTAAAACCAACACGACTACATTTTTTCTTTAAGATTCTTCAGCCCTATGTCCTAAACGTGCCTCCTACATAATCTTTCAGTTCATTTCCGTGGTAACTGCCACTCTCCATTACATTTCACTGTGTGTTTAGTGCCCCTTCCCCCTGTGACTAATTTTTCTGTCCTGAAGTACAGGGTCTTCAAAACTTTGAACCGCTTTTACAAAATACTTTTCTAGATGTAGATCTGTAAAAATTCCTCCAGAGGAAGAAACAAATAGGAAAGTGTCTAGATTCTTACAGATTAGCTCCTGTAACTTTTGTGAGTAGTTCAGTTAGTTTAATTATACACAGGAATAGAAAGCAGGGACACTGCCTTCCATACAATTGTTGGACATTCATGAGGGACTGCATGGGAAGGCGGGATGATGGGAGAGTAGTTATCACTCAAATACAGGTACAGTTGTTCCTGTAACTCCGCTGTTTAGACATATTTGGACTGTGATTCTCGTTAAAGGAGAAGAATTTCCATAACTCTTAAGCTACCCATTCTCTACATTCATAATCGCCCTAATGCATGTACCCCAACATGGGATGTGAGTAGATGCACACAGTTGCATTTATGATCGGTGAGTCAATGATTTCTTTTTACAACCCAATGAGTGCCAGTCTTGAAATTTTACCCCTTGTCATAACACAAATACTAAGCATTATGAGACCTGAATCCAAGGACCACCTAGAGAACTATCAGCGGAAGATAAATAGTCAAAGCAAGAGATAAGGATTCTCTTAGAATCTATTTTCCATCCAGTTCACGCCTCCATGTACTTTGCCACTTGGCTGCAGGCTATAAATAGTTAAGCGAAAAGCCAAATTGGCTTTGCTACAGAGGAAGGTTAACGCTTTCGCAAAGGAACTGGAGAAGCATATGACAATGCATCCGCCTCTCCATTTAAATAAACTCAGTGACGCTGATGGATGAGCTTCTCTTCCCACGTATGTGGAGGTCATTTGTAATGGGTGAGTTAACTGCGTGAACAGCCAACTGACTAATCACAACGTATGCTAGTCCTCCAGGGGAGTGGCTGTGATTTGTGTTTGTCATCTAAAACCTCTGGAGATAAACACCCTGAAAAGGACACTGAAAACTTAGCTGAAGCCACGCAGCATCTCACCAATAGTGGACACCAAGGGGACAACACGCCGTTGATCGTGCTTTATGGAGTTTGCCTAATGTATGTGCTTCAGAAGAATTTTTTCCTCATGAAAAACAAATCTCAGGATAGCTGACCCTTATCTTCCTATTATCTCCTTTTTAAGAGGCGGCCCATTTTAAAATAATGACAATGGTTGCATGTATTTTGTAACGTCAGTATGTGTAGCAAGAACAGAGAATGAAACAATCATGGGCCTGTGAGTCGACTGACCCGAGATTCCTGTCCCTGTACCCCACACTGCCATCTGTACAACTGAATAGGGCTGCAAAGGCTTCACTTTCCTGGAAGAGGCACTGAGCATGCAGCTGGCCTCTACCCCGATGCCCACCTGCTGAAGCCACTGACATTCTCCACCTCGGCTTCAGCGGGAGGACGGCCACACACTGCGCCCACAATCTGGATAGAATTTTTCCAAAAAGAATCATCAGTACCATCTTCTTACTACTAATGAATCTGTGCCAGTCCTGGAGAAAAAACAGAAATCCGAATCCAGAGGGGAGAATGTCAGCCCTCATCTTACGAGGCTTGGAAAACACGGGCACAGGCACAGAGCCGAACCCTATCACAGCATGTTGTTTTGCAAAGGAAGAACAAATAGCTGACTTCAACTTCACTGGCTTGGTCACTGAAATCAGTTAAGTAAAACCCTTCAGAAATTAGTGTGAATTGTTTTATTTTTCATAAAAAAAAATTCCCATGATTTGATATACAGTTATTTTACTTTTCTTTTTGGAGTATTGTTAGATGATTCACAAATACCCTCTTGGATTTCAGATTTTGCTCAGGAGCCTTTCACATTTGGTAAACACTTCCTGTCATTTAAATCATTCACACACTGGTATTTATGAACTTTGGTATTTCTGATCCCAGCCAATGCAATATACTGAAGTTCTCTTTGCTATCACACATTAGACATTTTAGTGGCAGAAGTAGGTCTTTAGTGATCAATAATTGTTTCTTCCGCTTGTGTGTGCTCAACATGGATCCATGTGTGTTCAAATTATGGCTTTGGCAGTGACTTTACTGATCTGCTGAGTCAGTTCTATCATTTGGCATTTGAAGATACTGAGACTGAGAATGGGTCTGGACTTGCATTCATTTGGCCTATGAAAAGCCACAGTTTTACCCCTAGTTTCATGATTCTTAATTCAAAATTCTCACGGAGAACATTCTCAGATTTTTATTCTACTTAATATTTTGGAGGTGACATGAATTCCTGGTGCCAGCATGAAGCGGGAAGCCTGGCATGCCACAGACTAAAGAAACTCCCTAACCCGAGGAAATCTTCCATAAAAGCAAGTGGAAGGGCAAACCTTCTCAGAATTCTGAGGGAGATAAAAAGAAAAGAAAAAAAATGTATTTATTGTCACTGACCTGGTAAAGATGGTAAATTACATATGTACATTTTACTTCAATAAAAAATAAAAACAAATTAAAAAATTTCTACTTAAACTAGTTGGACATCAAAATAAGTTTCTTACGCTCTTCTGGCCTATCAATATCTTATCAGCTTAGGATTCAAGGTTCCCCAGAATGCATTTGCTTTCTACACACTCTTCCACAGCCAATGCTATTTAAGTGAGATCCTAATTTATTCTTAAAATACATGTTTTGTGAGTAGGAGAAAGGCAGAAACACAGCATGCTTGGTGACACATAAAAGAGCACTTGAGAAGGAGCTAAGAACTTGAAACTTAGATACTTTTATTTATCCTATGTATATGGAATATTTACTTACTTGAATCCTAGGAAAAGCCACTGAAGCCAGATCCAGGACAAGAGTAAAATGATAACAGTAGCTGGAAAGGATAATATAAACCACGATCCAAAGTTGATGCAACGGCAGTCAGGATAGCGTCTGTGTGTAAATACGGAGACAGGTTCAGGGAAGAAGGGACAGTGGGGCCCTTTCTGATGGTCACTGGGAAGCAGAAGTCCAGATCTATCCCTTTCTGCTAGCCAAGAAGGGGGCCCTGGGATACACTCACCATTAAGTAGAGCAGATTTACTCCTTATCTCCTGTTTCCACTCTGTCACTGTGTGATTACTGCCTCACCCACAAAACCAAGAGCGGGCATGTCTTGATTTTGTTCCCCACATTCAATCTTTAAGGAAGTGCTTGTGAGAAAATCCAGTATAGTACTTGATATTCATTAAAAGTGTATTTCGTTGTTATTACTCCTATTAGTATATGAGTGAGAAAAGGCTTATGAAATTAACAGGACTGAGGGTCTGTCACGGTGGCTCAGGCCTGTAATCCCAGCACTCTGAGAGGCTGAGGGGCAAGTTCAAGACCAGCCTGAGGGAAGCAAGACCCTTTCTCTACTAAGAATAGAAAAATTAGCCAAGCATGGTGGTACCTCCCTGTAGTCCCAGCAACTCAGGAAGCTGAGGCAGGAGGATCACTTGGACCCAGGAGTTTGAGGTTGCTGTGCATGAGACTAAGGCCATGAGACTCTAACCCAGAGGACAAAGAGAAACTCTGTCTCAAAAAAAAAAAAAAAAAATTAATAGGACTGAATGTTCCCATTTTATCTTGGTAGCTGGAACCCTTGGCACCCAAGAAGGGACTGATTCAGTGGTACAGCCCATCTCGTCTCTCATGGCCATTTCCCCCTCTGATTCTTCTGTCTCTAAGCACTACAACCACCTTACCAGGCATATGACAGCCCTTTTCTTCCCAGAACTAGATTGTGCCTTGGAGCTTGGTGAAATGGAATAATGGGTAAAAATAGTTTAAAATAGTTTCATAGTTTCTATGAAACACATTAACTTTTCCTTTAACTTTTCTAGTTAATTTTAACTTCTAAATTCACATAACAGCACAACAGTAATGGAAAATAAAGGTCAGATATAAACACAGTTTATTTTATAATCTCACATTCATTGTTCTAATTAGTCTAAATGCTAACTAAATTCTCATAGAATTATTCATTTTATAACTATGGTAAAACAACGTGAAATTAGAGTTATCTTTAATTTTTTTTCTTGAAGCGATAACACAGAGTTGGAAATTTAAAAAATTCAGCCAATGGAAGTAATAAAAATATAATTAACATCTGAAATAATTTTACAATTATTTTCAAATAATTTCAATGCCTATATTTAAATCATACCTTATATTTTGTCATCTTAAAAAGATCATGTAAATAAATAAAATGTTTCCTGCAACATCTGTGTAGCAAATTTATGGATTAATATTTCAGAGCATTTTTTATTCTACTTTAAGATGGTCCCTAAGTGTTGCAAATACTTAAAAAAAAAGTTTCTTAAAACTCCAGATTTCTAATGTTTTCTACAATTTCCTTTGACCTTATGAAAAGTTATAGATGTCCCTGAGCCCCAGAGTTATCCTAATCAACTTGAGGCTAATTTTTATCTACCTTGAAGAGATACAAGGATCAGTGTACATATTAGTGGAATTGGAAAGTGGCAAATAACAATGAGAAAGGTTAGAAAGTACACAGAATTAGACGAGTGGAAAATACTTTAACACACACATGAGGCTCTATTGAAAATTGCTCATTTTAAAAAAATGCTTATTGTCTTTAATTGGAAAATAAAATGAGGAAAAGGCTTGAGCTGATTTCCCATCAACTTATTAGAATTGGGTGACCTGTGCTATTCTATTCAGCAAATATAACAACACCTGGAAATACTACTGGGATTAGGGTTAGAGCAGCGCTCCTAAGCCTGGCTTCATTCTTCACCCTCTGTGGCTCATACCTTGAATTCTGGCTTCATTGCTCTGTCTACACACTGGAGAGAATCCTGTAATATGTATATGTGTTTGACTAAAGAGGCACTTTTCAGAATTTTTTATTTGGAGGGATAATTTGTCAAAAAAAAAAAAAAAAGAAGAAGAAGAAAAGAGGCTTGGTGCTCATAGCTCAGTGAGTAGGGCGTCAGCCACATACACTCAGCTGGCGGGTTTCAGCCCAGCCCGGGCCTGCTCAACAATGACAACTGCAACCAAAAAATTGTGGGGCGCATACCTGTAGTCCCAACTACTTGAGAGGCTGAGGCAAGAGAACTACTTAAGCCCAAGAGTTGGAGGTTGCTGTGAACTGTGACACCATGGCACTCTACCAAGGGTGACATAAACATAGAAAGACTCTGTCTCAACAAAAAAAAAGAAAAAGAAAAACTTAAATTTTATTTTGTTTACTTTTCTTTTCTTCAATAAGTAAGAAAGTATATAAATGTCCACATGAGACTGTGGTCCTACAATTATAACTTTTACCCTTAGACTTACAGTGAATATTGTAAATAAATAAGGGAATTAATGGCACATTCTAAGGGATTTTGCTGTGATGTTCCCTTTTCCACTTTGCCTCATCCCACAAGTGACTGCAAACATGTGCCTAAAGCAAACATAGATTTCTTCTACCATGAGCTATGCTAAGATATTTAACTATGATAAAAATTCGTTTCTTTCATCCGACCCTGTTGGGGTGTCCACCATCTAGGTGCTCTTCTAGCTGTTGGCAATGCAGTGGGGAGTGAGATGGATGTGGTTGAGGCTCTCATGAAGTTTACATGAAAATGAGACACACAAGCAATGAAAAAGTAAGGATATAATAAAAAATACAATAAAAATAATGTAATAAAAAGTTATTAGGAGAAGGAAGAAATTTTACATAATGTGGTCGGGCAGGTGATGTTCGAGATGATATTCAAATAGCAAGAAATTGTGTGAGAAATTGGGACACAGTGTTCCAGAGAGAAGAAAGAGCCAGTACAAAGGCCTTTAGAATGGGATAAGTTTGGTGTGTTTATGGACCAGACAGAAGCCCACTGTGGCTGTGGGTAGGAGCTAAGGTAACAGTGACATGAAATAAACTGCAAGAAGAGGCCAATATGGGTCAGATCATAACCTTGTAGGTTTTCAAAAAGAATTTGGATTGTCTTACAAACGCAGTCGGAAGTGATTGGGACATAGTAAGTTAAACATGGTGGCTCCTGGGTACAGTCTCAGGATTGAGGATAACAAGAGTAGAAGCCGGGGTGTGGGGACAGAGTTCTGAGAAGGTGCTACAATTCCTTTTTCCTGGAATATATGCCTTGACAATCTCTTCCTCTTCTACATGGGTAGAACTTATAAACATAATCAGATCTCCTGTGACCAGGTTGTTTTGTGGCAAAAGTAAAGGGATTTTACTCAGGTAATCAATGACCCTATCAGTTGATTTTGCATTAATCAAATGAGTGGACCTGACTTAAATCAGGTAAGCCCTTATAAAAACCTTTTCTGCTGGCCTGAAGAAGTAAACTTCCACGTTGTCAGAGGAAGGGGCCATGTAGCAAGGGCCTGGGGGTAACTGCTAGGAGGTGACAATGACCTCTTGACAATAGCCAATGAGAAAAGGTAACATCTCAGTAATTAAACTGCAAGGAACTGAATTCTGCCCCCAACCTGAATGTGTTTGGAAGAATACCCTGAGCCCCTGTCTGGGTTATAGGCCTGGCTGATACCTTGATGTCAGCTTGGTGCAACCCTGAGCAAAAAATCCACTTAGCCTGTGCCTGGACTTTTGGCCCTCAAAATTAAGAAGATAACAAGCGTGTGTTACTTTAAGCCACTAAGATGTTTGTCATTTGTAACGTAGTAATAGAAGATGAATATACAGGGAGGCAAAGAAATTTTCCCGGGGAAGCAGGGTGGTGTGGAGTGGATTTTAGTGTAAATTGGGGTATCAGTGGGGACGAATAAAAGGCAAGAGATGTAGATCTCTTGGGGATACAAGTGAGAAATGGGGGAATGATGGCATATATTGAAATGGTCAAGTCTGAGGCAAGAGCCAGTTGGAAGGAGGGCTGGGGAGAGGTGCAGGCCAAGAGTGCTGGCATAGGTGTATTGATTTGAGATGTCCCTTAGTTTTCCAAGTGGTCATGTTGGATAGGCTGCTGGATACATAAGTCTGGAATTCAGAGGACAGGGCAGTGATAGATTATAAAATCCATAGTTACCAGCAGATAGGCAGCGTCTTACACCATGGAAATTGGTGCAATAACTGTTCAGTGGAGATATAGAAGTTAGAGGAACTGGCAGTATACACTGGGGCAGTCTAAGTTTTAAAGATCAGACCAGGGTATAAGAAGGAATGGACGATCTAAAAACTTTTAATCCTGAGAGGAAAGCATTAATATCCACTTTGCACAGGAAGTGAGAAACGGCCAGGAAGGTTAAGTGGGTTACTCAAGGACACAGATTAAGTAGTCAATTAAGCTGGGTTTTTAACCCAGGAAACATTATAAAGACTATCTTTTCTCATTAAGCTCCTAGGCCCTCAACTTCAGCTCCCAAGTGAAAATAGAAAAAGCCATATAGATTGCAAAACATCCATAAGCTAGAATGTAAGCCTCCTTTATGTTTTAAGGGCATTTTAAAACAACTATAGAAATGATTGTACCACAGTGCAGAGACATGTTTTGACCTAAAGCATATGCGCGCATCACTGCTGACACTTAGGCAGATGATACTGTCACTGCAGCTCTTATGCCCAATACAAAATGACAGATAATTTTAATACCCACGAAACGCATGGAAATAGCTTCAAAAAGGTGGATGCAGATGTGGTAATTTACAACCTTGTAATAAATTTTGGCCATTAAGAGTCACAATAAGCTAGTATCCACACTGATGACAGTCTTTTTGACTAATGACACAATTGATTATTTCTGAGACAAAACAACTTTTCAGTTTTGTATGTGTATATTTCCAGAAGTTGCTTCTCAAAATGTTAACTATTTGTTATTCATGCTCCAGGCTTAGATTTCTCATAGCAACAGCAAAAATATAAGCATTGACAATAACAACAGCTCACATTATTAACAAGTTGCTGTGTGCCAGGCCCT